TAAAGTTTTTGTGGATGGTAGAACCTGCATATCTAGATTTTGTCAAGAGTTTCAAGAGGATTGAGTCTTCCAAGTACGAAATCACACACAAAGGATTGAAGAGGATTTTTATTGCTGTTTCTGTCAAAAATTCAATATACAAGAGTTTTGGTGTAAAGAATTGCGGATCCCCTTTTTGTTAGGGAGTTACATTAATATTTATAGCAGACTAGGTCGGCTAGGTAACCCTAGAGAAAATAGGATGCTTTCCTTATCCTTTAAAAGTTTCCTTTCCATGAAGTCGGCCACTCTTAGTGGGCTGCGCCGACCTACTCGGCCCACCTCGTCATGCCTTGGGCTCGGCCCACCTCATCCATCACGGGCTGCACCTCGTCATGGGATTCATGCTTCTGCAAACTCACTTCTCTATTACGAATTTGTCTTTGCCGCTAAGTAGTGTTCTTGACCTTGCTAGGCTCGGCGCTCTCGTCTTGCCATTTCGACAGCACCGTCGTGTAGTCCGTCATAGGTCACTTTGTCGCCAAGTCTGTCTTGCTGGACTAGTCACCTTGTCACGCAGTCTGCCATCCCAGATAAGGCAGCTCGTCACCTAGTCTGTCCTGCCATACATGTCACCTTGTCACGCAGTCTGTCATGCCAGATAAGGCAGCTCGTCACCCAGTCTGTCCTGCTAGACATGTCATCTTGTCACGCAGTCTGTCATGTCAGACAAGGCAGTTTGTCACCCAGTCTGTCCTGCCAGACATGTCATCTTGTCATGTAGTTTCCATATTTAGCCATTTTGTGGCTTTGATCTTACAGGGGTGGAATCCGACCCCTACAGGTTTTTGAAAAAAATCTAAAATTTTTAGGACAACTTCTCCAAAATATCCACAATTTCTTTTTTGTAATTCAATAAACTGAGAAAGTATCAAGTTCATGATTGCTCACACAAAAATGTCTGTTTCATATTGTATTAACTATTAAGACTTAAGACTATTTTTTTCTAAGAATATAATAAGAAAATCCATGGAAATAAGAAAGAGATATATAGAAAATTATATTATGTAACATTTTGCAATAATATATGGAGCTGATTATTCCACTGAAACCATGCAGGGTCGTGCCCACTTGATATAAATGGAGGCAATGGTCTTAGGGCCTCCTTGATTTTATAGAATTTTTGGGTCCCAGATTTTTTTAAAATGGTAAATTATATATATTTTTCAAAATAATTTTAATTTGTCATCATTATTTACACTAATTTTGAATCTAAAATTTTTTTTAACACTATTTTTAGAGTCCTAATTGTTTTTTGGCCATAGATTTCTTAAACTCTAGGAACGGACCTGAAACCATGTCTTTACTTATTTTCTCATCTTGAAAGGAAAAAAAAATGAACAAGGCAAAGATGTTGGGAACCATAGGAACACTGTGGTTACTAATGTCTTGTGGATTGTTAACTTCTCTAACATCTTTCAAGTTTGTATTTCAAGAATTAGAAACAAAAATAGCTCAAACGCAAACAAAAGTCGAATATGATAATACATGTAGCATACTGTTAGCAGTTATAATACGAAAATAAATAAACAAAGACCGCAATGATTAGACAAAAGAAATAAAACAAGTTTGATTGATGTAGCCGGTCGATAAACAACTGCCAAAAGAAAGTGATATATGGGTGTGAATCTCAGCTGCAATATCAAAATACATATACTCGTTTTACCAGTTTAAGCAAAGAGGATGAGGTATATGCGCACGTGGTAACCCGACCTGGCCGTTGTCAGGCTCACGTGGCGGCCCTAGACATCGATCACACCCAGCAAAGTTAGTAAAGCCATAGTAATGACCACTTTCCGTAGCCATCTTCACATTAAGCTCCCTTCCTCCCATGTAAGTTCCACTTAGTTCTAGCGCCTTGTCATTGCCTTCACCATTCTTCAGATTAATGAATGCAAATCTGTAACTCTCAAGTCAATCGTTAGTTTTACATTTAACTTGATAGAGTATCTGTCACAAAATTGGAGGAGTAAGTGACAATTACCCTAAGGGAAGACGTATTTTACACTCTATGGGAACAAAAACCCTTGTGACCTCTCCACAAGAACCAAAAATGTTAGTCAAATCCTTCTTGATTTCATCCCTAGGTCGCAAGTTTTCAAATCCCTTGACGAATAAGGTTTGACTATTGTTTCCATAAGCCTCTTCGACATCGAAACAGCAAATAGATTTCGGTTCCTCCTTTTTCTTTGGGGTTTCTTCTTCCTTTTTCTTTGGGGTTTCTATCTCCTATAGACAAAGACAAAACAGGATTTCTTTAGAATTAAAAGAAAATATACATGATAAGAGTAAAGTTTATCATTTTCTCAACCTACAAAACAAAGAGCTATAAATAAACAGAGCCCTGGTAAACACCACCACCTTCAATGAAGCCTCTAGTAGATTGGTTTTTGACAGCAGAATCTCTTGTAGTTTTTTCATAGCTTTAGACAGCTCTTTGATAGATTTCTTCATTTCTTTGAATTCCTGTGTAAAAACAAATCAGACTCGTGACATAAAAAAGGCCCCAATGTCAAGAATAACAACACAAAACCTATACTTACATTTCTCGACACAAATTGTTCATCTTCATCAGGTTTCTGCAAAAATCAACAAACATGGCGATTTAATAGGATAAGTAAACCAGCTAAATCTGTGCATAATAATAAACCTCGTAATAATAGAGAACTTAAGTGAATATGAACCGCATAATCTAACCTCAGATTTCTCCTTTCGCTTTTTCGGATTTGCTTTGCTCTGTGAACAAGGGATCATGCTCTCACCTAATAGAA